AGAAAGAACCTATATTAATTTCTGATATTGAACTTTATCACTTTATGTTGTAACAAGTATCCCGCTTAGGTCAAGTTCTGATATCCATTAAAAAAAAAGAGCACGACTGCAAATTTTACAATAATTCAAGATATCCTTGAGAAGTAAATATTGGATATTTATAATTGAGGATAATAATACTACATTCCAAGAAAATAAAAAAAAGTGATGAACAACGAGCGTAGACTAGACTTACCTTGATTACACAGTTTGATACTTCTGCTATTAATAACTGTTGAGGAGAAATGTGACAGAGGTCACTCAACTGCTGTTTAAGAGAAGAGTACTTGTCACCATGGTTCAGGCGAAGCCCGTACCTCCAGGGTACACCTCCATCCAGCTTTATTACTAGAAAGGAAATGAAAATGTCCAATGCGGATTAGAGATTTTCACAGCAACCGACAAAACAATGCATTCTAATTTTTAAAAGTACAAACATAAGAAAAGGATATCTAATTAGCTACCCGTCATTACCGGGTTGTTTTTAGTTTTGATCTAAATAGGTAACTTGCTCTGATCTAAAGTTAATGTTAAATGTACAAAGAATATCCATTCAGATTAAAAAAAAATAATCAATCCAAGTGCTAATAAAGTATGTACAGTTCAATAAAGATTTTCATTAACAACACCTAGGAATACTTGTTAACACGGAGTCGCTTAAGAGACTATACATTTACGGTAAGTGATTTTGAAAATGTAAAAACCACTATTGATAGTGTTATAAACATTACAGCTTACACGACCATCAGTAAAATTAGTTGTATGAGAATTGTTCAATGCATTTAAATAAACAGTCTTCCACAAAAATTGTTTCTTATGTATTCAAATCATATGATATTCTCTAAATTGTTAACACGAATTATCCCAACAACAGAATATTTTGATTCTTAAAGACAATCAAAACCTGCTAATTATACACTACAGCGTTAAAAACTCCATTACTAGCATGTTTAACACTTTTAACAGATTAACAATATAACTTGAGCATTATTGATCTAATTTAAAATTTATAGTTAAAACAGAAACACGTATACATAGGATAAAGTGTGGACTGCATTTACAAAGAATTTAAAGGTCACGACTTACAGACAATTTCCAAGTGGACAGAGCTCTCCATAGGCAGTGGAAGGGAGAGGTAGTTGAAAGGGTCAAACCTGACACTAATGTGTCCACACACTTTACAGGTCACTGTCGATTGTAACTGGCCATGGAAAAGATCCACAATGATTGATCGATTTCGAACAACATGGTTTTCCCAAGCTTCTTTGGCAACTTCTTCATCAGCTCGACCATCACTGTCTTTCAATTCAACATATGGTTTTTCTTGTACTCTTAGTACAGGTTAAAAAAAGAAAACAGAAAGAAGAGTTAAGCAGTGACTGGAATATTATCACTTGCACTATTAATATTTCAATTAATTTCTTAGCTTTCGGCACTGAAATAGTGCAAGCTGGTAAAGAGTGAAAGAGGTAATGAAAAAGAAAATTGTTTGTAACACTTTAAATAAAAAAGATTTTAGCACTAGAAGGAGTGCAAGATACTGACCAACAATAATAGGTTTTACCACTAGTGTCTAACATGTAACGCAACAAAACTATGCTTACCAAGATGAGAAAAGAAAAAGAGAGCAAAAACGACAAAACACACCCTTGTTAATTTTTACACTTGAAACTCATGAACGGCCAGATCGTCAGAGAAACCAATAAAAAATTTTCGTTTTTTTTTTTTGCTTAGTGTAAATCATACAAAGGGGAATATCTGAAAATTACATACCTATTCAAGTCTTCATGAAGTCCATCTAACAAGAATGCTAATAATTCCTGCGAGTCATGTTGCTGGAACCCATTGAAACGTGGAGCATACTTTCCTATTGTCCACTGTAGTAAATTCAGAACAATAACTTTGACAATTCACTTAAACAAGTACAGTTGGTTAATAAATATACTTATGCTGAAATGGCTGTGGGTGATATATCAGTATTTATGATAATTATCATCAAATAGAATAGTGTTTATCCCGACATGATTATTAAACTTATTATCACATCTGTGCACCGGACAAAAATTTTTTAAACCATTTTGTAGCATGTTGTGATCCAATATTTCATTTTAAGAAAATTGTGAGCCGAAACAACGATGTTTATTTGTTGACGTATCCACCACATGGCTGGTTGCATTTGTCAAATGCTCCGAGTTGTCTCAATTTTACATAAAGTAGATGCCACAAAACATTCATGCTGGAACTTTATTTAAATTACTTAATGCAAAATGCTTTCTTGATTTTTTCAGTACAAATTTATATTTTATTGATTTTCTCTTCCCTAACTCTTTACCCATCGAGTCAATTTGACCGACCTCGTAACCATCATAAAAAAAAGAAGAAATAAATATAAATTACTCTTTTTTGTCTTTCAAGAATGACTGCAAATTGTAACATGAAACTATAATAGTTTATCCTGAATAATTTAAAGCTTGTAACAGACTACATTTGTTTATATTAGTTTTGTTGTTTTACTTCCCTTCTAACCATGTCTAATTAATTGTCAGCTGTCAATGAAACTTAAGTCTTACTTTTTTTATACTAATGGTACTACTACACTAAATAATATTTTATTTAATTAAATAATGCACATATGAACACATAGTAATAACATACAAAAAGCAAACAAAGTTGAATTACTATTATAATTTTTCTGGCTTTCTAACTATGCAATAAGAGCCTTTAAAAATTCAGCTAAGCTCATCAATGGGATTCCCATGAGAAACATTTTGAACCTGAAGGATGAAGTAGACAACGACATGAACAGAAAACAACGTAATATGTCATTTGATAGATTAAAACTTTGGCTATCTATTAGTTATAAATAATATAGTATAAAACAACGTAATATGTCATTTGATAGATTAAAACTTTGGCTATCTATTAGTTATAATTAATATAGTATAAAACAACAGACAGAACTATAGACAATATGTGAAATACTGGATGTGACATGTGGGTGTGGCAAGTTGGTCTTTCTAGTTTACGTCTCTCTGTAAACAAACAAGATTAAAGGCTATAAAATCTATACTTTTCCTGTAACATATCTATGTTGTAATAAGTAATTTACCTTAAATTCTGTGCTTCACAATAGGGGTGGTAAATAAATTAGAGTAGAGGAAAAACACAGAGAGCAAATGTCAGAATTCTCATACTAAGGGAGACTGAGGATTTTTCAAAATACTTCCTTATAAAATTAAGAGCTTACAACTTAGATATTAAAACTTCATTTATTAACTACATTTGATGCCAAGTTTATTTGTATACAATAATAATACAGTAATTTAACTAAATTTTGAATGCAACTCTGTAAAAGGTTGAGACGAACACACTTTTACCTACAACTGAGAAAGGGTTAATCAGATTCATTACCAATTTCCTAATGCTTAACCAGTTTGTAAATTTGCATATTGTTGGTAGATTGTCTTAACTAACAATCATGTTTATAGAATATTATTGGTCTGATGATTGTTAGTTAAGACAATCTGCCAACAATATTTTATAGACATGATTGTTAGTTAAGACAAAACAATATTTTATAGACGGTAGATCTTATTAACTAACAATCATGTCTATAGAATATTGTTGGTAGATCTTCTTAACTAACAATCACGTCTATAAAATATTGTTGGTAGATTGTCTTAACTTATAATCATGTCTATAAAATATTGTTGGTAGATCTTCTTAACTAACAATCATGTCTATAAAATATTGTTGGTAGATTGTCTTAACTAACAATCATGTCTATAAAATATTGTTGGTAGATCTTCTTGAACTAACAATCATGTCTATAAAATATTGTTGGTAGATCTTCTTGATTAACAATCATGTCTATAAAATATTGTTGGTAGATCATCTTGATTAACAATCATGTCTATAAAATATTGTTGGCAGATTGTCTTAACTAACAATCATAACAATATTTTATAGACGGCAGATTGTCTTAACTAACAATCATGTCTATAAAATATTGTTGGCAGACCTTCTTAACTAAAAATCATGTCTATAAAATATTGTTGGCAGATCTTCTTAACTAAAAATCATGTTTATAAAATATTGTTGGTAGATCTTCTTAACTAACAATCATGTCTATAAAATATTGTTGGTAGATTGTCTTAACTAACAATCATGTCTATAAAATATTGTTGGTAGATTGTTTTAACTAACAATCTATAAAATATTATTGGTAGATTGTCTTAACTAACAATCATGTTTATAAAATATTGTTGGTAGATCATCTTGACTAACAATCATGTCTATACAATATTGTTGGTAGATCATCTTGACTAACAATTATGTGTATAAAATATTGTTGGCAGATCTTCTTAACTAACAATCATGACTATAAAATATTGTTGGTAGATGGTCTTAACTAACAATCATGTCTATAAAATATTGTTGGTAGATTGTCTTAACTAACAATCATGTTTATAAAATATTGTTGGTAGATTGTCTTAACTAACAATCATGTCTATAAAATATTGTTGGTAGATCCTATTAACTAACAATCATGTCTATAAAATATTGTTGGGATATGTCTTAACTAAAAATCATGTTTATAAAATATTGTTGATGCACACTTTAGCAACAATGTGTAGGAATTTATGATTTTATCACATAATTGATTTTTAATTTTAAAACTTTGTTAGTTGTTGTAATTCAACCTGAGAAAAAAAGAGTTCTTTGAAAAGCTGGAAAGCTTATGGATTTATAAAACCTTATACTTTAATCCTCTCACTGTGAACAGGTCAAAGGGCACATGTCATAATATTTTAGTTATTTTCAAAATCTAATTAAACAACTTTGTTTTCATAGTGTGTTAATAAGACTGGCATCACAACGTAGTTTATAATTCAAATTTCATATTATGTATGTTTTACTTTCTTAATTCAAAAGAAAATATTTAAAAAAAATGCTATATGTGCTTTTTTGTGTCTCATACGACATGTTTTCTTGTCTTACTGCTTAGCTTATATTTTGTTATGCCTAACATACAACATCTATAGTGGTTAAAGAATTAGAAACTCAAATTTAAGACACTTACAAGCTAGAATATAAAATAAGAACTTCCCACCTGATATCAATATTTTTTTGTAAACCTCACCCATTATTCCATTTTGGAATCCTCTTATCTATTCATGACTACTTTTATAAATACATGTTTATAGCCAATAAAAAGAGCACATTCCAAGCTACATAACTCTGACTGTTGTTTGTAATTGGCTTAAAGGTAAAATGTGTAATTTCACTGGAATTGGTGAAGTCTGTTGACTAAGTTATTGTTCTAAACCCACAGTGGTCTTGTGTGTACCAGTATCACAATTTTTGGCTTTACCAATTACTTTGATTGGGACTACATCACATACATTTAATACATACTGAAAAATACTTCAACTGTCCTTTAACCTAGGATTAGTGTTGACCAACCCATCTTCTAACAGCCTATCCAAAGTAAGCACCCTCACATGTTGGGCAGCAGAACTGATAAATAACACATGACTGTGGAGAAAACTGGATACTATCTTTAAACATGAAAAACTTCTAAATCCTCGATAAAGGTCTGAACACATATTGAAGGTGAACTTGTGGATAAACACTCTGTTGATTACGGTGTGTAGTTTCTTCTTTAAGATTTGTGAGTGTGAACCTGTGTTCAGTAGAGAAATCATTACCTGTAGCGTCGGGACATCATAATTCAGGGACCTGGGTAGTTGTAGTTGTTGAACAATTATATTGACGGTAGAATCAATAAAGTAGTTTGAAAAGGAGTTAAGTTTTAAAACAGATTTTAGTCTGAGTAACTCTGTATCACCAGTTCCCTGGAACTTTTACAGCAAGTGTGCAAGAGATTAAGACCTTTGACAAGGTTTTCTTAGACGTGAAGTGGAACAAGACTGTCTGGTGTAGGCAAGTTTCTGATAACAACCGACATCAATGTGTCTTTATTAGTTGAAAATATATGTGTCAAGAAAAGGTAGAGCAGAGCTGTGTTGGCATTCACAGGTGAATTTAATGTTAACATGTCTAGAATTAAAATATTTTATATATATTTCATTTATTGATCATTTTTGAATCTTACAAATATGTCATCAACCATTATAGGCACTAAGCTAGACCCCATACTGACTCCATTAACACTTTCGCAACTGGTATCCTTTACTGCGCATGATACAAGGTTTTCGTGTCTTATAGTAAAAATTTTATTAAACTACTTTTTGCTCATGTTATACCAATTAATATAGCATAAACTCTTAGCTAATAATCCATATTTTAATATTATACAAGTTTTAAGTTCTTAATTCTATAAGGAAATATTTTTAAAAATCCTGAACTTCCCCTACTATTATACACATAAAACATTTTCTCTTCTCTATTTTATCCACCACCCCTTCAACATGTATGAAATTAAACATAAATTGGTCCCTATAATACCGTCATTGCTCAGATAAACCATAATTTTGTTTGGTTACAGAGCTATGAAATATAAAATCACACCCCTCCTGCCACATCCTCTCTTTTACATTTAATTATACATTACCTATAACCAATAAAAAGTCAAGGTTTTCATTTATCAAATGATGTATTGTATGAAATTGTGTTCTGAACAAGAAAGCGTCACTTTGCACACAGACTATTCAAAACAAATACTCAATATATTAATGGACAAATCTTTATCATATTTTATTAAAAATACTTCACTAAAAATGATTTTTTGTATGTTAAGTACTTTTAATATTAACTGAAAGACTGCCAAATTTTGTGAAGATATACACACTATATTAGATGTTAGAAGTATTAAATCTACAAAGACTTCAAACGAGTACAAAGAGGTTACGTG